GCGCATAGTAGATGCGCTGAGCCAACACGGAGGCAATATCGGGATACGGCAGGCGTTATTTGGATTGGGCTCCCTTAACAAATGTTGAACATTGGGGGCGATCCTTCTAGATTCTGTCTTGACACCGGACGCAGAAGACGGGTGAGAGAGAGGGAGAGAGCGGCGGATGCAACACAAGTCCTGCACCACCAGGCTGTGGAGCACACCCTTCGAATCGACGGTGGAACTGAGGTGCTTCCCGGGGAGGATTCGGAAGCTGGTTGTTGTCTTGAGCACGGGCAAGGCTCCAGATTACGTATTGTCCTAACCTAGAGCAACTCGTAAAAGGTGTAAATCGGACTACTAAGTATCAATATCAGTTTATTTAAGGTATATGTAGGTAGATTGTCTTTGAGTTCCCTATTTGTACATGGTAGCAGAAAAATGGTATCTCAGTTTGTTGGCGAGGCCAATTGTCCTGGGCCATGAGGTGGTATATAGTTGTTTTAAAAAAGTTAGCAGACGGTGAAAAAAACTCCTAAGGATTTTTTAAGAGAAAAACTGGGGCCAAGGTTGGCCAAGAAAGGAACCTGCGCTCGGCATGAATGCAAAGTGTTTACAACGTAGAAATGGAACACCGAGAAGGGAAAGGCTTCTTTGGGAAACTTGCGTAAATTTTAGACGTTGGTTCCCCAGCTCGTCATCAGACGATGACATATCTACAGGAACAATTAACTTAATCAACCGTGTCTAACAAATTATACTTCAATTAGTTGAAGTCCGCGCCAATAGGCGTTGCATACATTTCATCACCCTATCGTGATTAGCCACGCGCGCGTTGCATTCTGGCCTGTAGATAATTATAGCTCGCGTCCAAATCGATAAGTCTGTTGAGGCATGTGTCAACTGGGTGCAGCGCTTCCAGAAAGCTCTCCCGCGGCCTGCAGGAGAACCTAGCGCAAACACTGTGCTGACATTGGACTAAGTCTATTAGGAAGGATAGGCTAGCCGGCGCTTTGTTCAATACCACAGAGGAGCTGCGATAACACTTCAAGTAATTCGTGTCATCCACAATTCAGTAAGAAGTAGTTCAAGCTGTAACGACAGCAACAACTTGGGGATGACTGACATTTATATGCACGGATCAAAAACCGTAGAACCTAAATTGCGCAAAGCAGAATCCCGTTTTACTTCTCGATTTAACATCTAGGCATGCAGACCGCTTGCGAGAGTCGAACTATTTCCAGTTGGTGAATGAAACAAGGCTATGACAAAACAACCAAAATATACCAGTAAATAACAAGCAGGCAAAACGGTTAACTTCTAACAGAGTTTGTCAATATTGCGGGGCAATTTTCCCCGTTTACAAAAAAAAGCAATAATAGCCACTGAGGCAAAAAAACATAAGAAAATTGGCACGAAAAGCTTAATTACTACTGCAGATTAATATACAAAGAACACATCGAGAGACATAAAAAGAACAATGCCCGGTAACCAACCTGAGGATTAAAAACTGACATACAACCGGGTAAAATTAGTACGAGATCGACGGAATCATATATAAAGACATTGATGAGTGCGTTGTGCTTCCCCTAGTATTCCAGGGACTGCTCAGGGACTAAATTAGGCGTATGAAGCATAGTCCACGCGCTTATAAAGCCAAGACAACTAATAATCGTGGATAGTCTACACTGCGAAAAATGGGAGAGGGGAGTTCGGAAAATGTTTTCTCGGCGACAATGCGCAGCTGTTCAGGGGCGTGCATCCACAGCCCCTCCTAGGTCGAGGTCGAGTTAGATAAACTTGGTGTCAGTTATTTCAACAAGAGTTCAGAGGGCAACACAAAGCAAGTGTCTTGAATCCGGTTGATTTTGGGGTGCCAAATGTCTAAATTTCCTATTCGAAAATTTCTTCTGGGAAGTAAAATTCGAATTCAGTAATCATGAAGAACTCGGGACAAAGGGATTAGCAAGATTGCGGAACATATTCGAACATTTTAGCACAACAATATGAGGTTATTTTACCTAGCCGGCACCTACGATGGTAAGGATTGTACCTCGTCATGTATTACAATCGACAGCAACGGATCTGGAGAGGTAAACCCAATACCGTTTTAGCCAAGGAGACGGAATAACGAAAGTCCGAGAGCCGCCTTCACGTCCTAACTGCCTTACTGAGTCCGTTAGGGGGCTAACTTCCTTATCGAGGTCTCCAGGTGGTTGGTGGTGCTAGATCGAAGGCGGCAAACGACGAATAACGCGCCCAAAACAAGCTCAGCCGTCTTCTTGGACGGTCTAAGATACTCGTGCAATATTGTAACGATGATTGCGATCTGTCGCATACGTGATAAAAGAAATTTGGTTTTCAAAGAAGGGGCCAAACCCTGTCAGTCTTCGTTCGGTTTCCACGCGTGCAGACTAGCAATCACAAACCATCCATTTCTTTAAACTGACAGTCATTAATTTCGGATACTTCACTTTTCTGGTCATAAAAATCGTCAAAAACGTCCTGGTCTTCGCAACGTTTACGGAAAAATCGACCGATTTGTTAACCTCCCACACCACACCCTGTACGTATCCTAGCAGGCAGGATAATATTGTCAGCAGGTGAGACAGCCGGAACTAGGGTGTAAACATGAAACAGGCAAAATAGTACAGAGCAACTTCGCGAACGGGATTGGTGACAGAAAGCAACGTTAAAGAAAGGTCCTTGTGGACTGAGTTAATTGTAGCGTCTAACTCCATTAACTATAGCAGATACTGAGGCGAAGTCAGGAAAAGAAACGACCAGCGGCTACAGAAACCATTGTGGAATTCAAAAAGCACGCCATTGTTTGATGATTTGACCGGTGCACCCAGGAGACAACAGCTCTCCTCTCACTATTACTAATCTTACCCGAGTGAACGTATTATATCGCTGGGTGCTCTAAAGGTTTCCGACTGATGGAAAAATCCGTTCCCCAGAGGGCGGTCTCCGGCTGCCATGTCATGTAGTCCTTAGTCTTTT